ACTGCCGTCTCCAGAGGATTAGTGACGATATTGGAATCTGTTTTTCTCTACTTCTTACTTAGCCTTTTTTCACATGGTGAAAAAAATGGCCAAGGAGCTCCAGACTCATGACCTACGAGCTGAGTAATCCTAGTGGAGAAAGACTTCTTTAGTAACTCTACCAGAGAGTGGATAGGTCTGGGTCACATGTTCTCTGGTCAGCCCCTCCACTTAGCCCCCTAAATCATATGGAAGGGTCTCTCATGGCAGTAAAGTTGTCTGTTAGTGGATGATTGGGGCGGGGGGATCTCAGGTAGGCAAAAAACAATAAGGTCTTTACCACACTTTACTGGCCTAGATTATTTCTTACCATTTGGGCTTATTTCACTGTCTCTTTCTCTGTCGCCCTTTCCTGCTTTTGCATAAATTATAGATGTATTCCCAAAGCTTTTACTCTTCTTTCTGTACACTCTCACCTGATGATCTCCTCCACTCCCACTTAGCTATTATCTCACTGCAGAAGAGAGCTGCATCCTTATCTCTGACTTCAACCTTTTTCAGAGAAAGCTCACTGGTCATTTCCATCTGGGTGTCCCCAGGCATTGCAACTTAAAATCTCCAAGGTCAAACTTGCCATCATCCCCTCCATGTGTTTCTATTCCTAGGTTCCCTAGTCTTACCAGTAACTGCATCCTCTTTCTACTTTCTTAGAGTTCTATCCTCAAAGTCATTTTTTTGGTGATTTCACCTGCATACCTCTTCTCCCACCTATGAACTCCCATAGTACTTTTTCATTATGCCTCTCGTGAACTTATCACTTTCTCTCTGGTTTTATACATATTGGCGTGTATGACTTATTTCTGCCACAGTTATTTAGGTTCCTTGTTGGAAGATCTGTGACTTATCTTTCTTCTATTTCTTTCTTGGTTGTCATCCTCCAGCTTGTCCCAGCTTCCACTTCTGCCATCAATATTATGCCAATATTTTTATGCTCAATAAATACTTGTTGAATCAATGAAAAAATACATGTGATGTGTAGTATAATTACAGGATTCCCTGGGTGGCACAAATGCTTAAGCACTCAGCTATTGACCAAAATGTTGGCAGTTCAAACCCGCCCAGAAGTGCCTCGGAAGAAAGGCCTAGTGATTTTCTTCCGAAAGGTCACAGCCATGAAAACCCTATGGAGTCCCGTTCTACTCTCTAATATATGGGGTCACCATGCGTTGGAATCAACTCGATGGCAACTGTTTAGTATAATTGCATGGTTATTATATGTGATATCCAAACCGTGTAATTTCAAATCTTACAGTGAGCCTTGACACTTATAAGCAAGTTTCAACTGTACAAAAATGTTGAGGGAGGAACTTTCCCCAGTTGCTTAATCTTCTTCTTGCTCTGTCCTCTACCAGCTTCCAGCATTTACACAAACACATAATGAAAAAGAAGCAGAGAAACTTCTAACTAGTAAGAACTGCTGAGGAAGAAGGAGCAGGGGAGGCAGAAGAAGATATATGTGGAACTATTTGTTAAAATAATTTTGAGTCTTGTTTATAACAGGCATCTACACCTTCTTATCTCTACTACTACCTTATTTTGGTGTTTCATGTATATAAAGTCCACTTGAGATGACCTGAATGTGGCAAGATACTAGCAAATAGGAATTTGACTCAGTATTTAGAAAAAGTCTTTAGGAAAAGAGACAATCCACTTACATTAGGATAACTGCAGACTGGAGATTGTCTCTGATAGCACAAAGCTCCAGAGGCCACAGCAAACCTCAGGATGGGACTATTGAGAAAAGTAATGTAATAAAAACCAAATAGATGGAAAGAAGGAACCTGTCAGTGCATATTAGTGAGGGAGATGGTGAAAGGGTGCAGAGTTTCATTAAGGCACATACTATGCGGTATAATCACCCTGAGTTCATTTCTGAGGAGCACTCGACACTCCTCCTATTGCCATTATTTATTCGTTGTTTGTTTTAGAGATGAAGGGGTGTTCTTGAGAGGGTGTTTGAAATTCCTTGGGCAATGGTTCAACAGGTTTTGTTGTCTGTCTCTCACTGTTCAGGGTTTGGGCTTTCATCCTGTTTGTCCCTGCTCTGGGAGACACCGCCCTTTCTTTTGTCTTGGGTTCAACTGTGTTAAATCAAAGTATAATAGAAATAAAGATTGTTTGAAGCCAAAATATGCTGCTGTTCAAAATGTTGCAGTCTATTTGCCAGTTCATAGTTATTTTAAATAAAGCAGGCCTGCCATGAATTCAGTTTGTCTCCACTGTTAGTATTCCCTTCTTTTTTATCACAAAGCAAGGCCTTTAATTTTGTCATCTCACCACCTCCGTGTTCTTCCTGGTGATTGGGCAGTGGCCGCTGTCAAGGTGCTATTACCCACGACCACCTGCCTAGCCACAATTTCTACACAAATACTGTGTAGATCATCGAGGCTGTAAACAAGGCTATCGTACAGTGTTGGTTATTTATTCCTTTGACTGCACTGTTTTTATTTATTTTTCTTCACTTGTATGTAGAAGAGTGTCTTTAATGCTATACAAAGGGACTTTAGGCATCCTCAAAAGCAGTGGCTTTCAAACTCTTGACTGCCTTTATAGAAAGGAAGAAATTTTACATTGTGACCAGAGACATATTATCCAACAAGCAAAGGTAAGCACAGGCTTTCTTGTGCTTATTTACTAATCTGTAGTGAAATTGTTCACTACAGATTATTGAGCAGAAGTAAGCCTGTGCTTAACTTGCTTACTGGATCATCCACCCCTGTCAGAGATTGTAAAATTGAAAAGAGGCTTTGATTCTGTAGGAATGTGCTGTAGGGTTGGGAGAGAGACGGATGCCAGCCATAGCTAGAAGCAGAATCTTTGATGTGGTGAAGAAATGTGAAATTGTTTACGAAAGATGATCTGGTAAGCGAGGTAAGCACCGTGCCTACCTTGCCTATTGGATAATCCACCCCAGTTGTGACCTAGTATATTTGTGCATGGATATATGTAATGTGTAACAAACTAAAGTTCGACCCATGCGATTGCATGATGGACTCTATAGTTTCTATTGTATTTTAATTTACCTCATTAAAAAATGCTGTCTGTGATTTATTAAACAAATTTTCTGAATCACAAATGGATCCCGATTTGAGTCGGAAAAGAACTGCTTGACAGTCATCAAGTTTTATGAAGTCTTAGAACGTTAATTCTGAGAGGACTTTGGAGATTATGTAGGCACCCTGCCCTTTTCCTTCTGTTTTCCAGTTGGAGGAACTTGAAGTCCAAGTAGGTTAAGACTTCCTTGCAGGGAAACAGTAGTGCTTTGTGTTTGTACTCTCACACCTATGTATTCCTGGAATCATGCAGTGGGCAGTCGACCCACGTCGGCTCTGTAATTTTTGAGCCTAGCAATTATGCTCCTGGGCGGCTTCATAGTGATGAATAACCTGTACTCACTTTCCCTTCTCTGTTTGGCTATAGAGCTATTTTCTCCCTCCGTTAGTTTATTATCCTCTGTTTTAGGCGTAAAGGAAGACTGTTAACCTCTTCTTGGTGACACATAGCAATCACCATCCTGAACCCTAAGGAGAGAGTGGGTTGAATAGGGAACAGTTTTAAGTGCATGGTTAGACACTAAAAAAAGGTCTAAATGTGCATTTTCTTTAAGGTAGTTGAATTGTAGTTTTCGACAACTGCATATATCTTGTGTATTTGATTTTTTTTTCACCTTTATAATCAGTAATGATCTCCTGGTACCAAAATTGTTTGCCACTGGGTGGTGCAAATGGTTAACAGGATTGGCTGCTAACTGAAAGGCTGGAGGTTTGAGTCCATCCAGAAGCACTTTGGAAGGAAGATTTGGCAATCTACTTCCAAAAAAATCAGCGATTGAAAACCCTATGGAGCACAGTTCTACTCTGGCATACGTGGGGTTGCCATGAGTCGGAATCAACTTGATGGCAACAGTTTTTTTTTTCCCCAAATTCTAAAACAATGAGCATCAGCTTTGGAGTTCTCCATATCATTCCTAGCTAAGGTCTTAAACCAAATAAAAACCAAACCCACTGCCGTCGAGTCTATTCTGGCTCATAGGGACCGTATATGACAGGGTAGAACTGTCCTGTAGGGTTTCCAAGGCTGTAATCTTTACGGAAGCAGACTGTCACATCTTTCTCCTGCAGGAGGTGCTGGTGGGTTCAAATTGCCACCGACCTTTGAGATATTTATTAACAGTAGCAACGCATTTAATTTCTTTTATAGTGTTCGTAATGTTCGTAATCATTTTGCCTGAGAGCAAAATGATACCTTTTGAAAAGTTATTTTAGTAACAAAATTTTTGTAATGTAGACACTATTCCTCATTAACAGTCAATGAATTTCTAAACAACACAGCTCTATTTAAAAAACATCATATAGTGTAGAAAAGCTATTCGCCATCGTTGGGAGTAATACATATTTTAGTACACAACAGTTTGTGCTAAGAACAGACTTTAAAACAACTTTTCTATATTGACATTATTATTACTATCTAGGAAGAGGGATGCATTTCTTGACCATGAAATTGTAAGGGAAGCAGGTATTTGTCTTCAAGAAATGTTATAGAGAGCCACTTGAACAGTCTCCACAAAATATCCATTAACACTAAAGTAAACAGAGAGGGATGACAGAGAATATAGAACCATTTTAGAGCCCTTTGGTCCGCTTTTCATATTTGTAAAGTTCTTGGACATCCCCAAACCAATTCTTATTTTTTTTGTCCTCTGTATAGGTAGAGTGCTGATTAAGAATTTTATTTATTTATTTATTTTGTTGTTGTCGTTTGTTATTTTTCTTGTTTCTGGGTTTTAGGAGATTTGAACTGTTTTGCAATTTTAGAGGCCCATACATTTCTCTAGTGGGCTTTTGTATAAAGAGTAAGTGCCAGGCGTTTAGATGCAATGTTTTGTGCATCTTTATAGCATCTTTGCTTGGGTGCTTTATTACATTAACACATATTTGTTCACTTTGTTTATTCTATTTTAGTGTTTATCTGCTGAAGAGATCTTTTTCCTTCATGGCTTTTCAAATGCTACCCAGATAACCAGCTCTAACTTCTCTACCATCTGTCCAGCAGTCTTACAGCAATTGAGCTTTCACCCTTGTGAGGCTAAGTCCAAGCATCACACAAAACCAAGTCTTTCAGAAGGTATGTTGGTATTTTTTTCTCCTATTTGTTTGGAAAATACACTGGCCAGTTTGAAATGAAGTTAACATGCCTCTTTTTTCTGTTTTGTTGTTTTTAATTAATCTATATAGAACTCCCTGGTAAAAATACTTATATTCTGAAAGTAGTTAGAATAAGAGTTATTAGAACTCATTGACACTTCATAAGTCATACTCTTCCATTTGTGGAGTCAAAATTATACTTGGAACCACTTAGAAACCTAAATAAAAATTCTTGATTTTAAACATCATATACTTTATGAGGTGCACATTGGATTGCACATTAAATATTTGGCTCATAATTGATCAGTTAATTTATATTAACTTTTTCTTGTATTATCTCAAACCCTGTTAGTTTATCTGCAATTATCAGTGAATTGGAAGGGAAC